ACAGATCATACAAAATGCCAAGTTATAGATGAAAAGATGCTTGACCTCACTCATCAGAAAAAGAGAGAATAAAACTGGAAACCATTTTTTAAATACATTATTTTGGGTATATTTTAAAAGTTTGAATCTGTAATTCTTAGGATTCAATGTCCACTATGTCATGGGATCCAGTGGCAAAATGAAATACTGCAGTCAAACTGAATAGTTTTAAAGAAGAGAATAGTTTTAAAGAGAAGAGTTTTTAAAAGGAGAGTGCAACAAACCAATAGAAGAGAAAGGAGTAGAGTTCAGAGAATCCTTAGCAAGGACCCAAATCTGGCTCAAGCATGTCAAACTCACGGCCCATGTCCATTCCCATGCCACTCTCAGGCCAGCAAGAGTAAAGTAGAAAAAGTAGCCTGCAATACATGAGGACTGGCAATTCCACTGATTATTCCAAGTTTTCAGACCACCTGACTCCACTACCCGCAGCATCTGCTGTTAGGACTGAGGAAGCCGAAAATGCCATACTGAATTCCACAGGGACAGAGGCCAGTAACTCACAGGTAGGTAGAGGGCAAGTCCCATCCCAGCAAAAGCCAACAGAGGGAAGAGGATGACCGTGAATCAGATACTCCCTCCCACAATGACAAAGAAGCTCCTTGGAATCCAGTCTTCACCCAGTGGAGATGGAAGAGGGGACAGACACATATAAAGTGCCATATAAAGAGAGACTAGGGCACTAGCAGCATGCAGGCAAGGAGTCGCATTAATCTGCGTTAGAGAACATAAACAGAGTTAAAACAGGCACCACCCTTCCTGCAATTCCCAGCCTGTGCTCAGGAGAGGCTGTGTGGTGTCAGAAATCTGGTCAAGTCTGCCCCAGCCACGGACCCATACACGGTCCATCTGCAACCTTGCAGCCTGAGCCTGGTGATAACCTGTCCTCAGCCCTCTCAGCATGGACACCAGAGGTTCCCACTGGCCGCAGCCCAGGACTCGTTAGTGAAGGCCCCACACAATCTACAGGCAGCCCTTGTGGCCCAGAGGGTCAAACCAAGTAGGCATTCCCCCTGCAAGCAACCTGTGGCCTGTGTGCTCTGTCGACCTCTGTGTCCACTGCACACCCAGCCACCGACTGCTCATTACCTGATCCCCGGCTGCACTCTGTGGCCTATTGTTTACCCAGCACCTCCAGACCAGTCCCACCCTGGCCAAACTAGTCAACATCTCTGATACCTGGTGGCCAAACCACACCTTCTCAAACAAGGTCTGAGCCCCTTCCAAGTATGTCCTTCCTTGGACCCTCTCTCAACTCTAGAGGACCACACAGTTTCCTTATATGTTATAATTACTCTTTCATTATAGTTAACAATTCTTCATCTCAAACTTCCCGATTAACCTAATGTATGATTTCTATCTCCTGAATGGACCCAGAGGGCTAACTACCTCCTAATGTCAAAATCAAAGCCTGTTAACGTTTCCTCTTTCTCCCCTGATGCCTCCCTCAAAATCAGCATTTCCTCTCTAATCCCTGGACCATCCCCAGCCAACAGTGGGAAGAGACTGTTAGGGGAAGAGAGATATTAGGGGAAGAGACCAAAGGGTGTACCAAGGTGTTAACTGTGTAGTGAAGGCAACACAGACAAGTAGGAATAAGTCACTCCAAAAGGACTAATGGATGATGGGCCCTTAGAGCTGGCTCCAGGAGGCTCTGGGATTAGTGGGGAGAGAGGGGCAAGAAAAGAACATGAACACAGACATGACAGTAGGATTAGACATGGTGAGGGCTAGACACCACGTCATCCCCTAATATCTCTCTCCTGTAGAGATGGTCTATAGCAGTGGTTGGCAAACTGCGGCTCGCGAGCCACACACGGCTCTTTGGCCCCTTGAGTGTGGCTCTTCCATAAAATACCACGTGCGGGCACACACGTACAGTGCGATTGAAACTTCGTGGCCCATGCGCAGAAGTCGGTTTTCAGCCTGGGCGAGTCTATTTTGAAGAAGTGGCATTAGAAGAAGTGGGGGTACGTTCGCTGAAGTCGACCCCTCAGATTGAGGACGGAAGGCCAGCTTAGGAGTACCCTAATTAAGTTAATAACAATGTACCTACCTATATAGTTTAAGTTTAAAAAATTTGGCTTTCAAAAGAAATTTCAATCGTCATATTGTTGATATTTGGCTCTGTTGACTAATGAGTTTGCCGACCACTGGTCTATAGAGCTCTACTCTATAACCCTCCCCCCAAACACCATCCTATTTGTCAACTTCAGAACACATATCCTATCACATCAAACGTGAATGCCTACATTGAGATTTTAAGGCCTCTGAGACTTGGCCTTACCTGGCCAGTCCAGCCCAACCACACATTGGGAATACTTCCCTCAGGTAAGACTCATGCAGGTGTCTAGCCCTCACCATGTCTAATCCTACTGTCATGTCTGTGTTCATGTTCTTTTCTTCCCCCTCTTTCCCCACTAATCCCAGAGCCTCCTGGAGCCAGCTCTAAGGGCCCATCATCCATTAGTCCTTTTGGAGTGACTTATTCCTACTTGTCTGTGTTGCCTTCACTACACAGTTAACACCCTGGTACACCCTTTGGTCTTAATTCTCTAAGCAGACATACACCACCCTTCCCATTGATCCAGTGATACTCTTTCTCTAATTTATTTGTTCACGGCTAATTACCCTAATATATTTAATGCTTCATATTTCTTATAGTGCTTGACAAATATTTGCATAGTGATAAGTTCAATATAAAATGAAGAAAAAACTGGACTAAGTCAAATAGTTTTAACCCTTATATGGCTTGCCACATGGAGCCCAAGCAGGATTTCAACCCAACCCTATACAACTGTATGTGGCAGCACTGAACCCATAAATACTGGATTTATGGATGGACGTGGAAGACTACTATGCTAAGTTAAATAAGCCAATCTGAGAAAGACGAATATCACATGATCTCACTTATTTGTGGAATCTAATGAACAAAATGAATTGACCAGCAAAATAAGACCTAAAGCATGAAGGCATGAAACAGAATGACATATTTCAATGTGGGGATGGGGAGATGAGAAGAGATAAACCAAAAAACTTATATGCACGGCCCATGAACACAAGCAATGGGGTGGTGAAGACCTGGGGTAAGGGTGGCTGGAGGGAGGGTGGCGGGGGGGGGGGGGGGGGCGGGCGGAGTAGAGGCTGGGCAGAAGGGAGTAAACGGGGGGGGCGGAGAATGGGAGACATCTGCAATAATGTCAACAATTTAAAAATACATATCCTATCTAATAAAAGACAAAAAGGGTAATTAACTGTACCTCCGCTACGCTTCCCATTGGCTAATCAGTGAGATATGCAAATTAACTGCCAACAAAGATGGCTGGCAGCCATGCAGCTGAAGCAAGCAGGAGGCTTGCTTGCTCCAGTGATAGAAGAAGCCAAGGTTCCCCGCCTGCCGCGGCCTGCTCTAAGCTCCGAAAGCAACAGCTCCAAAAGCAACAAAGTTTCAATTATAGAAGCTAAACAAACTCCAGATACCTGCTTTCAGCCAGTTGCAGCCTCAGAGCTGGAGTGAGCAGGACGGCAACCAAGTTTCAATTATAGAAGCCAAACAAACCCCAGATACCTGCTTTCAGCCAGCTGCAGCCTCAGAGCTGGGAGCGCCAGTGACGGCAACAAAGTTTCAATTATAGAAGGTAAATAAATCCCAGAATAAAAAATAAAATTAAAAAAAGAGAGGCTGGGAGCTTCAGTTGCTAGTCAGCCTCAAAACGGCCCTCAGCCCCTCATGCAGGCTGGCCAGGCACCCCAGTGGGAACCCCCACCCTGAAGGGGGCGTGACCAGCTGCAAACAGCCATCAGCTCTTCACCCAGGCTGGCCAGGCACCCAAGCGTCGGGACCCTCACCCTGATCTGGGACACCCTTCAGGACAAACCAGCCGGCCCCCACCCGTGCACCAGGCCTCTATCCTATATAGTAAAAGGGTAATATACAAACTGACCCTAACAGCAGAAAGACTGGGAATGACTGGTCACTATGACACACACTGACCACCAGGGGGCAGACGCTCAATGCAGGAGCTGCCCTCTGGTGGTCAGGGAGCTCCCACATGGGGGAGCTCTGCTCAGCCACAAGCCAGGCTGATGGCTGCCAGTACAGCGGTGGTGGTGGGAGCCTCTCCTGCCTCCTCAGCAGCGCTAAGGATGTCTGACTGCAGTTTAGGTCTGCTCCCTGCTGGCAAGTGGACATCCCCCGAGAGCTGCTGGGCTGCCAGAGGGATGTCTGATTGCCAGCTTAGGCCCAATCCCCCAGGGAGCGGGCCTAAGCCAGCAGGTGGTCATCCCCCGAGGGGTCCCAGACTGCGTGAGGGCACAGGCCGGGCTGAGGGACCCCCTCTACCACCACCCCAGTGCACAAATTTTTGTGCACCGGGCCTCTAGTTAAATAAATAAAAATGCTGACTTTTTTTTAAAAAAAGTCAAATTATATTTTAAAACTTTTAAAGAAAGTTGTACCTTGAACTTTATTTTAGTAGAATTTTATTCTATTGTATATCACTCAAATGCAAACAATATCTCACAGCTTGGGCATTAAATTAGTTATGTGACAAATTTCACGCTGTAGTAGCTACTGTGATGGAATTCTTTTCACAACCAACATTAATTGAGGGTCTAAGTCAGCCGTGGGAAAACTACGGCCCGCGGGCCGGATCCGGCCCGTTTGAAATGAATAAAACTAAAAAAATAAAAAGACCGTACCGTTTTATGTAATGATGTTTACTTTGAATTTATATTAGTTCACACAAACACTCCATCCATGCTTTTGTTCCGGCCCTCCGGTCCAGTTTAAGAACCCATTGTGGCCCTCGAGTCAAAAAGTTTGCCCACCCCTGGTCTAAGTCTATGCCAGGCCCTGGACCTAGGTCCAGGGATAAAAATGTGGTACCTGACTTACGAAGCATATAGCACAGTAAAGAAACCTATATTTAGAAGGAACGTTTTCTTGATATTATACTTACTGATAAACTTGTTTTGCATAGTCTCCAGCAGAGCTTGGTGAGCATCCTCGGCCTGTAAAGCGTGTGAACATTCTCTAGCCAGTATGGTGCGTACAAGATGCTCCCCACATCCTAGAAAGTGAAGGAAACCAAAAATGGCTGAGGAAAAGCAGTAGTAAGCATCTGTCTTGTGTTACGAGCATTAAAACACCCTTATGCACTTCTTAAGAAGTAGCTGTGCTGGAGAATAATTCAGTGATGGATGAAATGATTTCTATGAGCAATCTAGTCATTTTAGTAATGAGATTTGGCAGAAACTGGAGAAACACGTGACTGTCTAATCTCAAAAGAAAACACACACACAAAAACAGCAAAATCTTTTTCATAGTAATGATTTGTACAATACAAGAATTTAGATTCTCTACCTAGGAATCTCCTAGGGGTCTGTTACATTTCCATGGTTGGGTAACTACAGAAAAAACTCTGCTCTATAATTTCTTTATCTGTTTACATTCCATTAACCCTGGTCTCCCATTTCCCTCTCGTTCCCCACACACCTGGTAGCCTGGGGGAATATGAATCAGCCAGGACCAATCTGAATATCCCCCTCCCTACTTTTCACTGAAATGTTCACCACACATCAACAGCTGTAAAGTGGGCTTAATAAAACAGCACCTTTCTCATCTTCTCATGGCAATTTATATAGCTTTCAAGGGTGAATACTCTCTGTAGTTCTAAAAAAAGAGTGCGTTTTAACCCCCTGAGTTGAATTTGACCCTTCAGACGCACTTTAAAAAGGGTAGGCATGGTGGTGATGGGCACTGCCTAGAATCTGATTATAGTATCTACCTGTTAAAAGTAGAAACTGCCTATAAAAGTACAGACAAAGGAAATTTAATTCATAGGCTGTTAAGTTCAAATAAAAGATTGCTAAAGAAAGAGCCTGATTTTTTTCTTAGAAATAAAAAATGTAAAAAAACCTACTCTGACAGACATTGGAGAGGTAAGCCTTTCTTAAAATATAGTAAATGATATTTCACATGCTTTTTTATATATGAAATCAATTTCACTATTAAAATTACACGGTCCGCTTATTCAAATGAGAAGGGTAGATACACAAGGTTTTTCTTAAAAACTTTTTTCCATTCAAAATGATTCCTCTCCCTAATGGAATAGAAGTCCCCATCTCAAAAAAAAATCCTGCCAAAGGTGTTCTGTTAGTTCATTAGAAAATCAAGTCCTCCATTAATTCACACAACAGGGAAAGGGTATCAAATGATCTAAGCATCTACTGAGACTAAAATATGACTCAACCCTATCATCAAAAACAATCACAGCAGCCCTAACCGGTTTGGCTCAGTGGATAGACCGTCGGCCTGTGGACTGAGGGGTCCCAGGTTCGATTCTGGCTAAGGGCATGTACCTTGGTTGCGGGCACATACCCAGTAGGGGGGTGTGCAGGGGGCAGTTGATCGATATTTCTCTCTCATCGATGTTTCTAACTCTCTATCCCTCTCCCTTCCTCTCTGTGAAAAAATCAATAAAATATATTTTAAAAAACCAATCACAGCAAAAAAAAAATAAGCATCTCCAGGATCCACTCAGTTTCTCCAACGGACCAGGGACACAGTAACTTTGTTTCATGTCATTAATTTGCACACAGATACGTGCATGCACACACACTACACTGGTAAATGGAGAGGGCTGGTAATTAGCAATCCCAAAGAAATGCGGATGAAGATTATTAAATTAAATAACCTCTTTTAATTAATGCCTTAACATTCTTAAATTCATGAAACTTAACCAACACAAACATATGATGCATAGTTCTCTGTTCAGCTTGTATGTATTATGACAGGCATTAGGCACTGACAACAAACCTTGCTAAAGATACAAGCTGGAATTGTTAAACCATGCTGGTACCTTTCATTTCAGAAGTATTTTCGTATATAGACTTCTCATTTCTCTCTCTCATCCTCTTCCCCCCTCTATACATACATGCGCATATAAACACACATGTGTATATTACATACACACATACAATATAGGCTCATTGCCAAAAGTACAAACTGTTTAAAAAATACTAAGTTTTTTTAAAAACCATCTGATATTTTGCCTGAAAGAATTCCCCTATACTTTTTGGTAAAGTGGAAAAGTAAATACCCTTCAAGATTTAATTATGTCTTTGTGAGTATCTACACTTACGGGAAGACTTAGGTATGCAATTTAATATATAACTTTGTAGGCATGATTATAGCGATTCCTGTTTGGTTAAATTTTTGCAATATTATTTTTATAATCAGAAAAAAATGACAATAAAGCAAATAGAAACCATTTTTGACATTTACTATACTAAGCTCATGAAACTCCATAAATTTTAATTCCCTTTGTGTACATATCTGATGTTGAGCAGTGAAATGTTATACTTTAGAACAATAATAATTGTTAGGAAATTGGCATATTATAAGCTAAATGAGTGTTCAGAAGGTTATGTACACACACCTCGAGTCAAACAGCTAAACCACATGAAGTTAACATTACATCAAAAATACACAATATATGTCAGAGTGACTTTTTCCTCTGTTGTTCTACAGGAATAGCAAGCAGGGTTTCCCTGTGATTGACTTTACCAAGGAACTTTTAAAATTATGACTACTATTCTGACATATATCACCTCCAACATAAGAGCCTTGACACCAAAAGCTTGTTCTCCTGCAGGTTCCAATCAAAGAAAAATTTGTCTTCTGTGATTTTACCCACAAAATTCCAAGACTTCTTAAACATGATGCCATATAGCTGATGTGTAATTCAATGGAAAACAGTTCCATTCTTTATTCAAAGATATTAGAAATAAGCCTTTCATTACATCCTCCTTTTGTCCTAACTCATGCAAGAGTGTATTTATGTTCTCAGATCTCAGCAGGAAATATGGATTATATATAGAATGAAGACCTAATACCTAACCGAGAAGAAAAGTGAAATAAATACCAAGTTCTAAAAGAACTTAGAAAAGTACACACTTATTTAGCATCAATAAAAATGACAACTGAATGATTGAAACACATAGTGAATTCATAACTTATGTTTTAAAAAGCTTTTGTTGGCCTGGCCAGGTGGCTCAGTTGGTTGGAGCATCATCCTGTGCACTGAAGGGTCATGGGTTGGATGCTTGGTTAGTGCACATACCCAGGTTGCGGGATCAATCCCCAGTCAGGGAGCATAGAGGAGGGAACCAATTGATGTTTTTCTCTCTCTTTCTCCCTCTCCCTTCCTCTCTCTCTAGAATCAATGAAAAACATATCCTCAGGTGAAGATAAAAAAAAAAAATCCTTAGTTACTTTTAGAGGATAATATGATATGGAAACAACTTACTCTTCTGAAAACTGGTAAGTAAAAACCCAAAATGAATTTCTCCGTAGCTCTTATAGGAACTATACAGCAGGGTAACCAAATAGTTTATGAAGAAAAATTTTCTCCATAGAATTATCCCAGCTAATAAATAAAGAAGAAATTAACAGAATTAGAATATTACCATTTGTAATATTTTTTATTTTTTTTTATTTTTTATTTTTTTATATATTTTATTGATTTTTTTACAGAGAGGAAGGGAGAGAGATAGAGAGAGTTAGAAACATCGATGAGAGAGAAACATCGATCAGCTGCCTCCTGCACATCTCCTATTGGGGATGTGCCCGCAACCCAGGTACATGCCCTTGACCGGAATCGAACCTGGGACCTTTCAGTCCGCAGGCCGACGCTCTATCCACTGAGCCAAACCGGTTCCGGCTGTAATATTTAATGCAACAGTCATAACTGGCTGCTAATATCACAAGAAGATTCAACCAGAGAATACATATCTCTTGACAAAATTACACGTTTACGGTGTCTCCCTCTGCCCGCCCCCACACACACACACTGAAAATATTACTAAATCTAAGGAAACCTCCAAATTCAATGATCACTTTGCAGAAATACAGGGCATCAAGAAAAAGCTACAGTTAACATCAAACTTAATTGTGAAAGGTTGAATTGTTTCTCCCGAAGATCAGGAACAAGGCAATGATGTCTGCTTTTATCACTGCTATTCAACAATACTCTAGAGGTTCCAGCCATCACAGTGGGCAAGAAAAAGAAATAAAAGGCTTAAAGATCAGAAAGGAAGAAGTAAAACTGCTCCGACTTGCAGATAATATAATTGTTTATGTAGAAAACTGCAGGGGAAATCAACAAAACAACTATTAGAGGTATCTCCCCAGATTCTTCCTATCTGGTTAGCAGCCTAGGGCAAAGTTCACAGCAGATACCTGCCTGGTACTTACCAGTACCCAAAATGTGGACCTGATTTCCACTTCCTCCACCCATTCATTCACCAGATTGTTACCGAGCACCTACTTGGTCCAGAATACACAGCAGTTGGCAGGGGTGCTGCTGCGTATTTCCAGATCTCTCCTGCTTGGCTACTGAGTACTCACTCAACTGTCACTGTGGCCAATCAGATGCCAGAACCCTGTCTGTGTATCCTACATGCCAACCTTAGGGATTTAGATGGTAACCCAGGACTCAGCAGGAACCCTGGACATTCCCAGAGCCAGTCTCTAGGGCCAGGTGACCTGTTGACCTCAATTGTTGGCCCAGTCTCAGCAGACTCTCTCGCAGTGCGCTACCTGTTGCTGAGACCCTGGTATGTGCCACATCCAAAGACTTCAGAATTATAATAAACTTCCTCTCTTGTGGAGATCATTAACCTATCATGATCCACACTAAAGACAAACTCATAATAAAAAATTACAAACCATAAACACATATATGCAAACACACACACACACTCAGAAGGTAGAATGTACAGATGCAAAAATCAGAATGATCAAACCAAGAAGTAGTGATAATAGAACACTGGTTGGCAAACTGTTTCTGTAAAAAAAAAAAAAAAAAGATAACGTAACTATTTTAGGCTTTGCAGACCACATTGGATCTCAGTCAAGTATTCTGCTTCTTTTATTTTTGTAAGAACCTTTTGAAAGTTTAAAAATCATTCTTAATTCATGAGCTGTACAAGCATAGGCCATGGGCCTAATTTGACCCACAGATCACAGTTTGACCATTCTTGTAGTAGAACAATCTATAGCACAAAG